TTGAAGATGAAGATCAAGTTTCTGAATATGTAATTGAAAATTACATATGTTATGAGTTGTGTGATATTAGTAAGTCTATCTGCAACAAGTGTAATGAAGTAGGACTAATTGATATTAATAGAACTAGTTGCAAAAATTCTGTCAACTTCATCTCTGTAACTTATGTATCAAGAGTATCAAGAATTATCTTTTTGGTTATGAAGTTCTGATGTAAGTTATGTATCAATGATTAATTTTCTTTGGTTATGATTTATTCCAATTGTGCCTATTTCCAAAATTGTGCCATGTTTTTCTATTGTGCAATAGGTCATATTTACATGCCAAGTTTATAGGCTATAGGTCATGTTTACAGGTCATTTTTACTAGTCAAAATTGGTAATGAAGTAGGACTAATGTTTACAGGTCATGTTTGCTACCAATGTTTACAGGCCAAAGTTACAACATAAATTTAGATCTCATGTTCATAGGGCAAATGTTTCTGCATAAGTTTAGGGCATTTTTATAGGTCAAGTTTACATGTCAAATTTTTCTACATATTTATAGGTCATGTTTTGAATGCAATATATCATGGCATGTTTACAGCATAATGACAAGACAATTTTGATTGTAGGTCATATTTTTTCTGCATAATTAATAGTAAGCCAATAAGATATATAATAAAATGAGGTATTTTCACATTATAACAAAATGAGGTACTTTTTCATTACAATAAAATGACATAAACAACAATGAGGTACTTGTTCCATTACAACAAAATGACATAAACATCAAAATTACATCAAAATGAGGTATACGTTCCATTACAACAAAATGACATAAACATTAAAATGACAACAAAATATGATCCTAAGTGAAACTAGTCTTGAGATGGTTGTGTCTATTGTGGTTCCTGTGATGAGCTTCCAACTTGTGTTACACATGTCTTTGCCTTCTGCTTCTTTCCACCATTTGATGCACATGAGTCTGCCTCTAACTTCTTTCTGCCATTTGATATGTTTCCCTTCTTTTTATTACCACCTTTTGGAATGACTATGTCAGTAGTATTTTCCCTCATAACTCCTCTTGTTATGTCCCATGGCTCCACTCTTATGACAAGTAACTATTGTAAGCTTTCTAGGAAGCACATGTAGATTTTTTGGTTCATCATTGACCTTGTCTCGCATCTTTTTGGAACGACCAATGAACCTTCTTATGACTAGTGGATTGATTGCTACTTGGCCATCCAAAGCCCACAATTGTGACCCATTTGTAGGGAAGACAATATGTGAGTAAGTGTTGTTGAAGGTAGACTTCTTGCACACATAATCTAATACATATGTTATGCATAAATTAAGCCATATTTTAACACATAAATCAGAGACATATATTGATGGCACAAACATGTAATATTCAAAGATATAATCTTCTGTTTTTTCTTCTTCTTATTTTCCATATAGATGTTATGGCATGACTACATGGGATTACAGTTAAATCCCATTTTATACATGTACATGTCTTTTGTTTTAGATTAATATAATATGTTCCTATGCCATTGGTCACGCCATAGATGGCTAAATCATCGTCACCATGAGGGAGTCCAATTTTTTACATGTTTTTTGTTCTTCTCAAGGACCAACTGTATTCTAGAGAAAATATCACCAGTGTACTTATTCTTGAGCTCCTTCTGACTAGTAATTCTCTTTGTCAAGTAATGTTTAATTCCTTATAACATGAAGATTATGGAATTATCCTTATAGTCTAGAATGTCCCTATTAAAATCCTCACACATATTATTCATCATTAATCCACACTTGGATTGTGAGCTGGTCCAAAATTGAGCAGGAATGTCCATCATTTCCTTCCAAGCAGCTTCATTCAAGGTTTTCATTCCTGGCATTGCTCTCTCCCATGATGGAAAAATTGTAGCTCTTGTTATAATCCACATAACCTCTTTCAATTCCAGCCTATCATATTTCTTCTTCCAATTCTCATATAAATGCTTCACACAAAGGCGTTGCTTCACATGTGCACTAACACTCTGAGTTGTTGGCACTAGACTCTAAAAATAATAACAAAAGAAGACAATATTACATTTTAGTATAACTTATTAGTTGGCCAAATTTATCAAAAAACAAAAGACAATAGATTAAAAGGATACCTTTTTCTAGTGTGAAATGAAGGCACAAATGCTATGATTTATTTCAAGTAAGTCTTCTACGAGAAGATATATGAACCACTCCTAAGAGTCTTTTGTGTCAGCCTCTACAACAACATATGCAATAGGATATATCTGATAATTTCCATCCTTTTCTACAACTGCCATCAATTACCCACCAAAGTTTCCTTAAAAAAAAAAACAGAATCCAACCCTATAAGTGGCCTACAATATTTTTCAAAACCATATTTTCAAGCCTCTAAACATATATAAATCCTCTCAAACACTGGGCTTTTATTAGAGACAACACACTGCATAAAAATTGTACTATTAGTGTTTTACTTGAGCAACTCTTCTGCATAACTCCGTAAATGGGACAATTGGTCCATACCTTAGATCAAATCTATTTTCCTTCTTTTGGCTCTAAAGGCATGATCATTGGATAACTTCACTTTCCATCTGTCAATAGACTCAACAATCAATCTCAGAGGTTTCATGTCAGGACTATGTCTTAGAATATGTGCAAATTTATTCGCTAGCCATTATGTCTTTGCTTTCCTATTATGTGCAGTTCTATGAGATATATGTTCGTCAACTAAACTTACAACTTATCAAAACTGATTCCTAACCCACTTACTAATCCTCATGTAAAATTTACAACCTTCCATACAATTAATTACCATCATCTTTCCATCGTTTTTCTTAATGAAGACATTTTTCTTTGTTTCCATTGCATAGTCCTTTAAACCTCCCTCATAATTTCTTTGTTGTTAAATACCATACCTAATTGAATTTGAAGCCTTCGCCACTTCTATGAGTTGGAAACTTATCATGCTCTTCATCACCACCACTTTTAGGAGGAGTATGTAGTTGATCATAGTCATAAACGTCATCACCATATCATTTTCACCATAATTTTTTATTAGAATGACTCACCTTTTCACTTTTTAGTAGGACCGTGGTCCAATCCAACTCAACTGAATCCTCACTATGCTCACACTCTCCCTCTCCCTTGCTAAAACAGTCCATGTCAACTTCATTTCCAACATAGTAAACATCATCATCAACATCAAAATTCCCACATTGTTTTTGTACTCTTTCATCAATGTTCCCACATTCAACTTCAACTTCACTTACATTAACACTACCAACTTTAACTTCAACTTCATCATCATCAGATTTTGGACCACAATCACCATCAACATGTACCTCTTCATCATAGTCTTTTCCTAGTTCGGCCTCATCTACCACATTAGGTTTCTCAATGGTGTGCTCTACATACACATCTACCAACTCAAAGCCAATAACATCATCAACAAATTTAAGCATATCTTCATCATAATTTAGGGGTCTAAGGCCACGCGAAAAACTATACTTAAGGTTCCAATACCATAGACATTTAATATTCATATATCCTTCATTTTTAATCATATTTTTCAACTGCATATAAGACATATAATCCATATCGCATTCCAAATTCATTTCAGAAATTTCTCTGTTTATGTACCACTCAACAGGATTGGATACTAATTGTTCCCTATGACGAATTCATAACCTAATTTTTTTGAGTTTGACGTGGTATGGAATAATCAGAGTAAACAATGAAAAATAATAATCAAATTAAAAAAAATTGCATGCATTTAGGATCACTTTCAAAATAAACTGACATGCTTATAACATTATCCAAATCTCAAAATCCTAAGCCCAGAAATGAAAAATGTGTCATTAAACAAAGCATAATATAAGGAAAGAAACATAACCATAACCCAGAAATGGAGAAAATCACTTACCTTAAACAAAATTTCACATCATCCTTACTCTTCAATGCCGCTTGAGAAATATCCATCGTGCTTTTCCTTCATAGTTTCTTTAATGGTTTGAAGTTGGAACATAAAAAATTCAAACATATTTTTTAAAAAACATTTAAGACGAAATAAATGACTTCAAATGATGTAGAATACCTAAACAAGACTTCAATGTTAAAGGAAATTATAAAATTTAAACTTAATGAGTAATAAAATCAGGGCCGAAAAATAGAGCTGAAACAAAATGAATTTGAAAAAATAATGAAACATTCCACATTTCTAGATTATAAACAATTTAAATCATATCTAGTTTCCAAATTATAATTGACAATTAAAAATAAATTTTTAAAACTAAAAATTATTTGATCAACACATTTAATGACGTTGCATCACATACTCTCTATTATATACCACATCCCTATTTTCAGTGACACATACACTAAAGAGGTGAGGGACTAAAAAAAAAAAAAAATCTAATATAAAAATTAAAAGGCTGAATTTTTTTAATGAGATAAAAAAATGTAAATAGGAGACTAAAATTACATTTATGCGTAACTTTTTTATTTGAGATATTTAAAGATTAACATTCGATATCATTAATTAACTAACTAATTAATTCCCTTGTTGTCGTTGCTTGTTGGGTTTTCATCACTTGTCTTCAAAGCTTCCACACAACACAATCATCATGCTCTTTTCCTTACTTTTCTACTCACTCGTTTCAATCTGTCACAGTACTTCCTGTTCCCACCCGTAACACCATTCTCTAGATCATAGAAACAACAACAACAACATTAAATATTTGTTTTGTTCTTGTTTCAGTTTTTGACACACACAAGATGATACCTTGTTCGTTTTTATCCATCACCATTGCTTTTGTAGGATCTACCATTCTCACTTTCTGTGTTGTTCCTTCTTCTCGCTACAATGCCTGTCGTTAGGCATTACCTCGTATGGGTTGAAGAATGTGGTGGTGGAGTTCCAAGTTTCTTGAGATCTTGGAATCTTGTCCTTGAATGTTTTCAGCTTTTTAGTGTTTTTACAAAACCTACTTTGTGGTCGCTATGCAATTAGGTAAATTTCACTTCGCTTACCCCTTTTCATTGCAATGTGTGTGTACTATCTTCCATGTATGTTGTATTAGAGAAAATGTAAAAATATTTTATATGGAATCACATTTATAATCATATGAATCAGGTTTTCTGCAAAATGGATTGGATTCATCACCAGGTAGAAGTCAAGATGGAAGTTTCAGGAAGTCTAGCTCTGGTTTGTACTGAATCTTCTTCTGTTAGTCTTTTCCTAGAATTAGGGATATTTATTGTGTTTGATTCTGAGGTGATTAAAATTGATTTTAAGTGATTAGGCGTGTCGCAGTGTTCTATACGAGCCGTGTCAAACACTTATATGACACCTATACAACATACAACATGTTGGAAAAGTCAGACAAATGTTTCTACCTTATACATTTTCTGGACAAATTTCACACACATCTAAAAAACATGAATTGAAGTAAAGTAATCTACGAAGAATTAAAGAGATTAATTTTGATTAGAATATTATTTGATAAGTTAATAATAGATGGCTAATGAAAGTCAAATACTATCGTAAGTAGTACGGTCGGTGTCTATGCTTTTCACATTATCAGAGTCTGAGTGTCCGTGTCGTGTCGTGTTTTAATGTCTGTGTTGGAGTCTGTGCTTAATACTTGTTGTAAATATTTTTTTATGGACATAATAACACAATTTTCTTACATGCCAGTTATTTCTGCTACTACTGTCTCTGGGGCATCAGGGTTGAGCAAATTTTTTCCTATTTCGAAAAGAGTGTTAAAGGGACTCAAGGAATATGGAAGAAAACTGGTTGACTTTGAGTTATTCACACAATATCTTGAGGAATGGGTCTTGGAGAATCTAAGTAATGATTCAGCAGGTGGAATGCATGGTTTTAGTTCTCTTTTTACTATCGATGAGTTGCGCAAGCTTGATATGGCGTTAGAGGGAGTTCCATTTCAGCAACTAGTCCGTATGCCGATATTCTCTGAGGATTCTGAAGAGCTTATAGAAGATCAGTATCTGGCTGCAGAGGATTTCCTTCACGCCGTTATCACTGGTCTATGGCGTACATTTTGGCATAAAAGTGGACCGCTTCCGTTATGTGTCTCGTGTCCCTCTCATCCTGGTTCGAAGTTTAGTAGTGTTGAAAAAGCAATATCAAGAGGCAGGTTGAGGGAAATGCACGGTTTAGGTTTGATATCGAAAACATCAACCAGTTCAAAAGTTAAATGGGATCAAGTCGTCGAGTTTGCGGTATTCAAGCCAGAAATATTGTTGGACAATGCTTTGAGAGTATCGGCCAATACTATTTGTGAAGCTCTCTTTTATGGTTTTCATGTTCTTATTTCTCGGAGTTTGAGCAAGGTTAGTTCTGTCAACAGCGATTCAGTTTTCCTTCTCGTTCTAGATTCCAATTCTGGACTCGTGATCAAGTTCAGTGGTGACCTTGGAAAACTTGATTTATCGAATTCGAGTAATCCGTATTTGTCTGTGGCTGAATGGATCAAAACTTACGCCGAAATTTGTATCACCCCAGTTGAACCGATATGGAACCAATTGGGAAATCCAAACTGGGGTGATGTCGGAACTCTGCAGATACTATTGGCAACTTTCTATTCCATTGCTCAATGGAATGGTCCACCGCGAAAATCAGTTGCCTCGTTGATCTCAGACCATAGCTTCCGCCTTCAGAAGCGCCGGACAGAATGCTGCATAATCGAGACCGAAAATGCACTGGTTCCTTATCATGATCATCAAGGAGGAGAGATTGTTGCACTTGATCAAAATGATTTATTTTCGAACAACCATGCCTCACGGCTGCAGCTCAAACATGGTGACATATTGGTATTGGATGATCCACAACAAGGCCAGAAAAGTTTCCAAATTTATGAATACCTAGTCGGAGGGAACTATTATCTCTATAGTGCCATATGTCTAGACCATCCCTCGGCATTACTGTCATTATACGTCGGCGCACACCCGTCTAGACTAGAGCCTTCTTGGGAGGATATGAGTCTTTGGTATCAAGTGCAACGCCAAACAAAAGTCCTAAACATTTTGAGGAATCAAGGAATTTTAAACAAATATTTACCCGAAATTGTAGCCTCGGGTAGGATTGTACATTCAGGTCGTTGCAACAAAGAAAGTCCAGGTGGAAAATGTGATCATCCATGGTGTGGAACTCCAATACTAGTAACATCCCCAGTAGGCGAGCCATTATCGTCTGTAGTTTCCAATGAAAGAACATTTTCTGCCGATGAAGCAATACGCTTATGCCGAGACTGTCTTGTTGCGCTACGAAGCGCAGCCATAGCTAATGTCCAACACGGCGATATTTGTCTGGAAAACATAATACGCATTGTGGAAAAACAAGGCAATGCTAGAAACCATCACCAACAAGCAATGTATGTCCCGATATCTTGGGGTCGAGCCGTCTTGGAAGATAGAGACAGCCCTGCTATAAATTTACAATTCTCGTCGTCTCATGCACTTCAGCACGGGAAGCTTTGTCCTTCATCTGACGCCGAAAGCATCATCTACATCGTCTATTTTATCACCGGAGGGACTATGACCCAGCAAGATTCTATCGAGTCTGCTTTACAATGGAGAGAAAACAGTTGGGCGAAACGAACGATACAACAGCATCTTGGTCAGGTTTCAGCTCTACTGAAAGGTTTTGCCGATTACGTGGATAGCTTGTGCGGTACTCCATATCCGGTTGATTACGATATATGGTTAAAAAGGTTTAACAATGCAGTAGAAGGTTCAGCTGATAAAGGTAAAATGATTGAAGAAGTAGCCATAATGTTGAGAATAGAAGATGCTGCTGAGTCTTCTGGAGCTTCTGGTCCTTAATTTGTTTTTGTAAATTGCAATTGGTGAATTCATATGCATTTTATTTTTAGGACTTTTTTCAGGTTCTTTAGTACTAATGTTTTGGTGTCTTCTGCGGCAATGCGGCAACAAGAAAGTTATATTTTGGAGTGTTTTTACTGGTTTTTGAAATCAGATTATGAAACTTTATTGACAAAATTCGTACATGGTTCAAGAATTGGCTGTTTCAAGAACTTGGAACCATCTATTTTTTGATGGATGATGATGTGATTAACTGTTATGGTTAATATAAACTTCAATACTGAAATTTCTTTACCAGTTATTGCCTTATTATTTTAGCATGTTAACTATTAGTACTACTATCCAAATATAAGACTCTTTTTTCATTTTTAGGCTTTAAGATTGAAAGTTGAAGCACAACATAACTATTTATGAACAAAACTAAGATAGGATAACTTGAGATGACTCTCAACAATACAAATAAGTGGATGAAATTTTGGGAGTTTATGTTTTGTAGTTTTCATATTTTAATGCCATTATTGATGGTGTAAATAATATTTTACAATCCACATTTTGGTATAATTGTTGATTCTCTCAATGCCAAATAAACAACATAATATGAACATATTATTCTTACATACATATTAAACAAACAACGTACATAATAGTGTGAACATACCTCTCTTTAATGTTAGATAAAATGTACTCACACATTTGCAAATCACTTTCACTCATTAATAAAAAGAATCATTGTCACTCTTTTTAAAATCGTTTTCTTGAAATTTAGATTTCTTCTAGATTGCATTGCATATGTTATCATTACTTCCTTAAAATTAACTTTATTTATTTATTTTTATACCAAAATAGGTTCGTAATTCCCACTTATAATCTATCATGTTTTTCTTCAACGAAAAACAAAGTATTTCATATTCTTTGGTCCAGATTCCTCTTAAGATTTGCGACCACTTTCCAATTGCTTACTTTCAGTTTCACTTGCATTTAGAGAACTTCTTTTACTGCCCTATAAAATTTTAAAAATATCTCTAATTTTTAGAAATATATCATTAGACATATTTCAATACACTTATTTCATTCGTTTTTTTAATCAAATTTCAATTTTATAAATATATTTATTTCAAAAATATATTTTCAAAAAAATTTCAAAAATATATTTCTAGAAACAACATTTTTTAAATTTCTATACATACTATCTGCTATCACGTGAATATTACTATGACATTAATAATAATAATTGATCTCACCTGATCATAGGAGTCACTGGCCGACCACACGTTTGAGCTGTCTGACTGCTGAGGAAGAATAGAGGGGGTGTATCTGAAACACACTCCGATGCCAAATTAAGAGTCGGGCAGAGTGATAACAAGTACAAAAAGAGTAGTAAGAATGAGATTATCTGACTCTCTAGTGAAAGAGGGTATTTATAGTGTACCCCCAGTGCTGGGCCAACAGTTACTTCACGTTGGGTTGGGCTGCCAGACCCAATGCTGACAACTGCTAGGGCTGACGCGGCGTCAAGAAGACCAGCACGTGGTCTTCGCCTTAGTGTAACTCCTTCGTGCTATCCGGGAGGCGGAGGACCGAATAATCAGGGCACAGGTAGTTACCAGATGACGTGTCTCCGCATAAGGGACACATTGAGAACGTGAGGGAGGTCAGAGGAACCCCCCGAGCTGGATAGGGTCTGCCCGACGGTTGAGCAGAAGGGAGAGCGTGCCTGGTAGATGAGACGTGTCTGCTTGACTGGCAAGAGGTTCGTGCCCGACGAGAGAAAGGGTTATGCCCGACGGGATAAAGGGCTCTGCCCGACAGGGAGGCGGTTTAAGTCTTATTGGGCATTCCAACCCAATGTGAGGTTGGGTCTGCTCGACTGTGGGCCAAGTGTCGGCTCAGTCCAAAACAGTAGCCCTCCAAGTCGTTGTTAGCGGTCAAACGATCTATGACTTAAGGTGCAAAGGTGTCGAGCATGTTGCTTCGTCGGTCTGTCCGCGACCATAGTTGTCGGAAGAGCCTAAGATGCGCAAGGAGGCCCGTGGAGGAGGAGAGGGAACCTGAAGAGACACAGGAAAAGTTGAGAGTCGCCACATGTCACCTTAAGGAGGCTACGAGCTAGGTACTTGAATGCCTAGTGATGCTTCGTTTCTCGTGCTAGGGGCGTATATATACATGGGCTCAGTCCGTCTTTTTGCTCACTTGTCTCCTTGCTGTCGTTCAATTCTCTGAATTCTCTACTCGACGTCTACAACATTTCTGCTTGACGCAACCACCTTTCTCCGCCTAATCACGTAAGTTTCCGCTCCCTCTACTGGTGTTTTAGTAGGCTTCCAGTGGTGTTTCCGGCGGCTCAGACGGGCCTGCTGGGGAGGCCATGGATGTTTCCGGCGAATACGCCGGAAAGTACTTCAAAACTAGGATATGATCGAACGTCCCTGACACTTGCGATGAGTGGCCCAGGGACATGCGATGATTGTTGAATGTCTCGAGGGTGCTCGATGAATACTCCAGGCATGATCGATGAGTACCCCGAGGAAAAAAGGATGAATTCCCCGGGGACGATGAAGGATCTAGGGTTAACTCAGATTGGTCCTCTGGGAGACCCGGGGCGTGTCGTAGTTCTGCTCGGCTTCGGGCGTCCATGCCCTTTCACTTTAACTGTGGTGGAAGCGTGGATTTGATTTAGCTGTCGAATTCACTGATTTCCTCTGCTTTTCAGGTAAATGGATGCCCGCGAAGAAGAGGAAATAATGTGGTAGCTGTCTGACGACGAGGAGGTCGCCAAGACGGGACCGTCGTGGAGCCTTCGGACAGGCCGACAGAAGAATGGGCCGGGGACGAACCCCTTAACTACATGTCACGCTTCGTTGTCGATGATGCAAATGTCTTCGTCGTAATCAAGGACAGAGTGGTCGGGGCTCCTCGCCAGTTCAGGGCATTTCGCCCTCGGGAACGGGATCACATATGTTCTCGCTATGACGAGGGACGATTCCCCATGTATGAGTTCGCGTTTAAGGAGGCAGGGATGCATCTGCCGTTCACGAGTTTCCAACAGGGAGTTTTCGACCATCTGATGCTGGCGCCCTCTCAGCTCCACCTTAGCTCTCTTGCTTTCATCCGTGCCTTTAAGATCGTCTGCAACTATCTCGAGCTCGGGGCCACCATTCCCCTATTCTTCTACGTCTTTCATCTACAACGGCAGACTGTGTCTGGGCGACATAACTGGGTATCCCTGAAGCAGCCGACCACGCTCTTTCGGGCATACACGGATTCTGTCAGGGGGTTCAAAGATAGGTGGTATATGGTGATGCCGGAGAGAGACGAGGCCATTAATACGCTGTTTCGATGTGAGGTTACCGTGGTGAACGGCAAGTCCGAGGTGGACTTCCGCTCTTATTTCCCCTTAGAATAGATGAAGCTGCATTTTCACTCTAGCATGAAGAGCTTCATCTACTGGGCTAATCATCAAGATGAGGATGATATTTTGGCCTTCAAGAAATTGGTCGACTTCGTCGGGCGACTCCCCCCTTGCAAATGCGTGACCTTGGACGAACAGTACATCCGCGATGCCAGCGGGGAGATCCAGACTGAGACTAGATGTATCAACACGAAGGCCCTCCTGGAGTGCTGGACCGAGGCAGAGGCTCATCGTTTCTTAGGTAGCGAGCATCTTCCTCGGATCTATTCATTTTATTTCAAAGTCCCACATTGACTTTGCTTTTTCATGTTTTCTTTGCAGGTGCTATGGGTTTGATGGAAGAAAGTGTCACGAAGCTGCTCAAGGGAGGTGGTCGACGTCCTACGGGGAGGGCCGATGTTGTTCGAAAGGAGGCTGGTATTGGACTGGCAGGGTCGACTCCTCCCCCCAAGGTAGCAGCTCCCTGGTTGCCCCGCCAATCCCTAAGAGGCGACGAGAGTCTGGGACGTCCCCGATCGACCTGACAGACAGCTCTCTTGACCGTCGTTTCGTCCTTCCCTCTGCTGTCTAAGACCATACTTCTTTACCGGGGATAACGTCCTTGTCGTGGCTTCCGAGGAAACGAAGACCATCCTGGACGCCAGCAAGGAGGCCCGGAGGAAGATGCTATCAGACGACTTGGCCTCAATGGTGAAGGCGTTTGAAATGGCTCTCGCACTCAACAAGGAGGCTTGTTCCTCGGTAGACTTGAAAACAGTGCGGGGTGAGCTGGTAGTGTTTGAGGAGGTTAGTTCTAAGCTGGTCGCCGACTAAAGGGAATATCAGAGGCAGGACAAGGCCTAGCGCAAGCGGATCAAGGAGCTCGAGAAGACGGTGAAGGATGGGGATCACGAGCTGACTCGGCTGAAGGGGCGGGTCACTGAACTCGAGGACCTCCTTGCTCCCGCCGAGGAAGAGTTTGACGAGGAAAAGCTGCTGGTTTCCCGACGCGAGCTGGTGGAAAAGATCCGGTTGTTGGAGGAAGTCTGCATGAGAGCTGTCGAGGTAGGTTTTAAGAGTGCCATGACCCAGCTTCGACTCGCCAACCCCGGCGTTGATTTGGTGACCGTAGGGACATGCCCCTACCATTAAGTCCAAGGTGATCTCATCATGGTGCTCGATGGACCAGACCGTGACCAGCCCATCCTAGAAGGGGAGGATCATACTAACGAATAGGAACTTCTGCGGCCTGCGTGCCGTGGATTAATTTTTTATTGTTGTTTGGGACTTGTGCCTTTTATTGTAATTTCTGAATAACTGGGCTAATGCCGGCGATTGTATAACAATTGTTTATTGTTTTTGCTAAGTATTTATGTGTGCTCATTTATTTGTTTATGTATGCCTGTTTGCATGGATTTTTGTATACTTGTTTGCATGTTTATATATTGGTGGGAGTGGTAGCTCGACGTTATCTGTCATGCCCGGTAGTGTAGGGAACTGGCCGGGTGACCGGGGTTGTTACCTGGTCGGTTACGAAGTGGGGGCCGCGATCGCGGACCTTTCTCCGTGGTGTGAACAATCCATCGCGAGCCGGGTGTTCTGCCATCTCGGT